CAGACACACACACACAGACATACACACAAACACACACACAGAGACACACACAGAGACACACACAGAGACACACACAGACACACACACAGACACACACACAGACACACAGACACACACACAGACACACACACAGACACACACACACAGACACACACACAGACACACACACAGACACACACAGACACACACACAGACACAGACACACACAGACACACACACACAGACACACACACACAGACACACACACAGACACACACACAGACACACACACACAGACACACACACACAGACACACACACAGACACACAGACACACACACAGACACACACACACAGACACACACACACACACACAGACACACACACACACACACAGTCGCCATGACGACGGTACCTGCTCAGAGTTGCTGGGTGCCACCGCCCACTCCCCTGGCTCCTCCTCCTCCTCCTCCGTGTCCCCGTCGCTCATCAGACTCAGGTACTCGTCATCAACTCGCGCACCTACACACAGACACACACACACCAACACGTAACAACACACACACACCAACACACACCTACACACAGACACACACACACCAACACATAACAACACACACACACCAACACACACCTACACACAGACACACACACACCAACACATAACAACACACACACCAACACACACGACACACACACCAACACATAACAACACACACACCAACACACCTACAAACAGACACACACACACCAACACATAACAACACACACACCAACACACACACACCTACACACACCAACACATAACAACACACACACCAACACACACACCTACACACACACAGGTACTCGTCATCAACTCGCGCACCTACACACAGACACACACACCAACACATAACAACACACACACCTACACACACACACCAACACATAACAACACACACACACCAACACATAACAACACACACACACCAACACACACACCTACACACAAGACACACACACCAACACATAACAACACACACACCAACACACACACCTACACACAGACACACACACACCAACACATAACAACACACACACACACCAACACACACACACCTAAACACACACCTACACACAGACACACACACACCAACACATAACAACACACACACACACCAACACACACACCTACACACACAGGTACTCGTCATCAACTCGCACACCAACACATAACAACAACCGCCATTCGCCACTAAGTGGCGGTGACGTCACCACGACGCTTGTGCCAGGCTATGTGCACCCTGAGGCCACGTGAAGTGTCGAACGCCCGCTGGCAGGAGGTCACGGGGCAGACCCAGGTGCCACGGGTTGACTGACTGAGATGACTGGCTGATGCACCACCTGTGCCCCCTACTGTGCCAACCTGCTGTGCTTTAGCCACCCGGCGCTCCGCTCGTTGTTGTGAGCGTCGCTCCTCCGCCCTCCGTTGTTGTTGGAGGGCGACAACCTCCAACTGCCCAGTAGCATCCTTCACGAGCCTCCTCCACAGAGGCCGATCTTGACACCGCTGGTACCGGTCATCGGCAAGTCCACTCAGCTCCACGTCCTCCTGTACCACATCACTCCATCTCTTCTCTAGCCCGTGCCGCGCCCGCTTAGCCCCCTCAATCCGGCCAAACAAAAGCTGTTTCGGCATGCGGTGGCTGGGCATGTGGGCTACATGACCCAGCCATCGCAGCCTTGCCTGCCGGAGGAGCTCACCGATGGGACCCTGCCCAGATCTTTCAAGGATTTGTGAGCTCCTCACACAATCCAGTCTGGTTAAACCCAGGATGGATCGTAGGCAGGCCACACACACACAGGTACTCGTCATCAACTCGCACACCTACACACAGATACACACACCAACACACACCTACACACAGACACACACACACACCAACACGTAACAACACACACACACCAACACACACACCTACACACACACCTACACACAGACACACACACACCAACACATAACAACACACACACCTACACACAGACACACACACACCAACACATAACAAAACACACACAGGTACTCGTCATCAACTCGCACACCTACACACACACACACCAACACATAACAACACACACACCAACACACACACACACCAACACACACACACCAACACATAACAACACACACACCAACACACACACCAACACACACACACACAGGTACTCGTCATCAACTCGCACACCTACACACACACACACCAACACATAACAACACACACACCAACACACACACACCAACACACACACACACAGGTACTCGTCATCAACTCGCACACCTACACACAGACACACACACCAACACATAACAACACACACACCAACACACACCTACACACAGACACACACACCAACACGTAACAACACACACACACCAACACACACACACAGGTACTCGTCATCAACTCGCACACCTACACACCGACACACACACCAACACATAACAACACACACACCTACACACACACATCAACACATAACAACACACACACACCAACACACACACCTACACACAGACACACACACCAACACATAACAACACACACACCTACACACACAACAACACACACACACCAACACACACACCTACACACAGACACACACACCAACACATAACAACACACAACACAACAACCGCCATTCGCCACTAAGTGGCGGTCCAGTAGTCCAGACTGTTGTTATGATGTCATATAGGGCAGTCTGTGCACAAACGCCACCCTCCCTCAGCATTTTGCTTGGGAGATCATCTGTGCCCGCTGCCTTTCCTGGTCTCAGACTCCAGATCGCCTTCAGTACTTCCTCAACAGATGGCACCTCAGCCAGCCACTCACAGGGGGTGACTTCTTCCAATATTTGAGGCACCGCAGCCTCAGCAGGGTCATCCTCACTTTGTGCCACGATGTTTTCCTGGCTGAGGGGTTTCCCAGCCCTCAGGACCTCACAGAAATGCTCAGCAAATCTGCAAACCTGTTCCTGGGGGTCGGAGATTGGAACACCGTTTTTTCCCCTAATGATGGTAATAGGTGTGGCGCTGGAGGTTACTTTTTTGATGGAGTCAAATAGAGGCTTGTGATCGCGGGCCACTGAGGCAGACTCCATCTCCTCAGCGACCCACGACCACCACCCATCCTTGCAGCGCCTCACGGCTCTCCGAACCTCCGAGCGAAGGCTGCGGTAAGCCTCCTCATTCTCTGACGTGGGATTCTGTAGCCGATGACAGTGGGCCTGTCGCTTTTTCTCAACTATTCTGAAAACCTCCTCTGTCAAACAGGGTCTCTGGGGAGGTCTGGACCGCGTACCCAAAGCAGCCAATGCAGCTGCATGAGTGACAGTCCTAAACCTCGCCCATTTACCCTCGACATAAGGAGTGGGGGACGATGCCAACCCCAGCCGCAGGCGATGATGAAATTCTCGCTTGCAACTTTCATCAGATAACTGAGACCAGGCCACTTTAGGTTGGAATGGGGTCCTGGGTGTACACCCACCACCGGAGCGGAAGAATGGCAGGCGCATCTTACAGATGACAAGTCAATGGTCAGAGGGCAGATCAGCTCCACGGTAGGGCCTGGTGTCAAGGACATGGGCTCGCATCCGCTGGTCCATCACTATGTAGTCCAACAGATGTTCTTGCTTGGACCCGGCATGCATCCATGATGTTGTGTGGATGCGCCGATGCCGGAACAGCGTGTTGGTAATTACAAGCCCATGGGCTGCACAAAAATCTAGCAGCCTCCTACCGTTGTTATTGAGCTGATCTGGCCCATGCCCTCCAAACACTCCAGACCAGGTGCCAGCATCATGACCAACTCGGGCATTGAAGTCACCCAACAAGATGACTCTATCCCGAGAGGCCACTTTAGCCAGCACCTATGACAGGAGGTCATAGAAGGCATCTGACTCATCGGCTTTGCCTGCATCCCTCCACGAATGTTCGTCTTCGGTGGGGGCATAAGTAACCACGCCCACCACTCCTTGCCTCCGATTGATGGGAAGGCGAGCCCAAAGTAGCCTGGGGCTTACAGGTTCCCACACTTCACTGCCACGCTCCCACGTCCCCTTCATTCTTTTGTTTATAAGAACAGCCACACCCTGTTATTTGGCAGTCTGCTGCCCCGAGTAGAGGACTGTCCACCCCTCATGGTGGCAGGAACCAGAACCGGTCCACCGGACCTCCTGAATGCCACAGAGATCCAGGCGGTACCGGTCCAGCTCCTGACAGAGGAGTGGCAGCCTCTCCTCCGCAGTGAGCGTTCGAACATTCCACGTGGCCACACGTAGTGGTTTTTCGTTGTTTCTGGAGGAGCCCCGAGGGTAGAGATTCAATCTCCTGGCTCCGCCAATTGGGGTTTGGCCAGGAGACGTCATAGACGCCTGTCCCCCCGGGGCCTCCGGCACAAGCTTATTAGTTAGATATTTTAGACGTGGTTTAGTGGTAAATTTTTGAAGGTGGAGGGGTTACCAGCCCCCCGCACCCGTCCAGAGCCCCCGTTTAGCCCCTGTGGTGGTCACAGATGCCATGAGGGGAGGAGCCAATCGGAATTGGACCTCCCCCCACAGCACTGTCCATGACAGAGTTGCCCGTCCGGCACCGTGAGGAGGTAGGGGGTTGTTTTGCCAGACTACACACACATACACTACTACACACACACACTACTACACCACACTACACACACAGACACACACAACACTACTACACCACACTACACTACTACACCACACTACTACACCACACTACACTACTACACACACACTACTACACCACACTACTACACACACACTACTACACTACTACACACACACACTACTACACTACTACACACACACACTACTACACTACTACACACACACTACTCTATTACACACACACTACTACACCACTACCCCACACTACTACACACACTATTACACCACACACACTACGACACACACACTACTACACCACACACACCACTACACACACACACACCACTACACACACACACTACTACACCACACACACTACTACACACACACTACTACACACACACTACTACACACACACTACTACACCACACACACTACTACACACACACTACACTACTACACACACACTACTACACCACACATGGACAGCTGACACCCACAACTGCGGTGTGGCAGTGCCCCCTAGTGGCTGCGTGGGGTCAGGGATCACCAAAGACTTCATCTTGTGTGGTGAGTCTATGGGTCTCTGTGCGGTGAGTCTATGGGTCTCTGTGTGGTGAGTCTATGGGTCTCTGTGTGGTGAGTCTATGGGTCTCTGTGTGGTGAGTCTGTGGGTCTCTATGTGGTGAGTCTATGGGTCTCTGTGTGGTGAGTCTATGGGTCTCTGTGTGGTGAGTCTATGGGTCTCTGTGTGAGTTTATGGGTCTCTGTGTGGTGAGTCTATGGGTCTCTGTGTGGTGAGTCTATGGGTCTCTGTGTGCTGAGTCTATGGGTCTCTGTGTGCTGAGTCTATGGGT